CTTGGGTATTATTTGTGACTCTTGTTTTATTTTTATAATATTTTATTTTATTTTTCTGATTGTTAGATATGTAATTCATTGTTTTAGAAAGATTAGATTTGATTTAGAAAGATCAGATTTGATTTAGAAAGATTAGATTAGATATTTTTTGGGCTTTTATAGTTTGAGATTTAGCTTGAGATGCAAGTTAACCTAAATCTATAAATAGGGAAGAACCCTTTTCATTGTAATCATCAAGTTTGATAATCACGGTTTTGTAGTTGCAAAATGATAATACAATTCTGCAGTTATGGGCAGAGAGTTACTTTGCAGTTCAAACTCATATTCTTTATACGTGTTCTTGTTTTTGTTCATTTTCATTACATAACAACATTGAGATCAAGATTGAGAAGAATTAACCATAGGTCATGGTTGAGTTCCAACATCTGGTATCTAGAGCTTCCGTTTTGATTCAAGGGAAGAACAACTGTGATGGCGATAAATCACCCGAACGGTCACTTTCCAGCAAATCTTCCAATTCTCAAGAAAGATAATTATGAGAATTGGTGCAAGCTAATTAAGGTGGTATTCTGTTACCAAGATCTTTGGGATCTTGTGAAGGAGGGATTATCACTGCTTGCAGAAACTGCGACAGATCAGGAGAAAGCAACATATAAAGAATTGAAGAAGAAAGATTATAAAACTCTCTTTATAATCCATTAATGTGTTGATCCAGATAACTTTGAAAAGGTTAGTGATGTAGAATCAGCAAAAGAAGCTTGGGAGATTCTTGAAAAATCGTTTGGAGGTGCAGAGAAGGTGAGATAGGTGAGGCTACAAACTCACAGAAGGACTTATGAGTTGCTTCAGATGGAAGACAATGAAAGTGTATCATATTTCTTCACCAGAGTTACAAAGCTAGTGAATCAAATCAAGGTATGTGGAGAAATGTTAACATCAAGATCAATTGTGTCAAAGATCTTGAGGTCGTTGGCTCCATAATTCGACCACGTGGTAGTAGCCATAGAAGATTCGAAAGACTTGTGAGTATTGACGAAAGAAGAGCTTCAAGGGACGCTTGAGTCTTATGAACAAAGGATGGCTGAAAGAGCTGCAGGAAAGTCGAAGAGTAATATGGCTTTGCAGGTGCAGTCAGAAAAAGAAAGGAAAGGCAAAGGAAGATGTAATGACAATAAAGGTAGAGGAGGCTACACCAATTTGACTGATCAAAATCAGCATGAAGGAAACTGGTCGAATCAGAGAAAATCCCAGAACCAAGGCTACAAAGAGGTGGTGCTGTAGGTAGAGGAAGAAGTGGCGGTCGAAAGCCTGACAAAAGTCACATTCAGTGTTTTAATTGTCAAAAGTATGGTCACTATTTTAGTGATTGTCTAGAAAAGAAGAAGAATCAAGAAACTGATGCAAAGCTGGCGAAATATGAAGAAGAATAGATGTTGCTAATGGTCACAACAAGAGACAAAAAAAGATTCCAGGACTAGTGGTACTTGAACTCAGGATGCTCATCGCACATGACTGGAATAAAAGATTGGTTTATCAACATGAAGTCCTCGATGAAGAACATGGTAAAATTTGCAAATGACAATACTCTAGCAGCTGAAGGTATTGGTGATGTTCTGATTATGAGAAAAGATGGCAAGAGGTCAAAAATTTCTAATGTGTTGTACATACCAGGCATGAAGAGTAATTTGCTCAATATAGGGCAGCTAGTCGAAAAGAACTACAGGGTGTTGATCAAAGGCAAGATGATGAAAGTTCTCGACACAAGTGGTAGGTTGATCTTGAAGGCTCCAATGTCTCAGAATAGGACCTTCAAGATTGAACTCAATGTGATCGAGCACAAGTTCCTAGCAACTGCAGCCAATACAGATGAGTGGTTATGGCATTTTCGACTAGGCCATCTCAACTTCAATGACATCAAAGAGCTAAAGAGAAGAAATATGGCTTCAGGATTACCTAAAATCGACATTCCAAATGAAGTGTATGAAGAGTGTGTTCAATCGAAATAACACAAGAAAAGCTTCAACAAGGATGCAGGAAGGAAGTCGAAGGCAATTCTGGAATTAATATACTCTGATGTATATGGTCCAATCCAGGTGGATTCGATTGCAGACAACAAATACTTTGTCTTGTTCGTAAATGATTACATTCTAAAGCTGTGGACTTACCTCATCAAGAAGAAAAGTGATGGGATCGAGGTATTTTCCAGATTCATATCTATGATCGAAAGATAGAGTGGTCGAAAGCTAAAAATTCTGAGGATTGATGGTGGTGAAGAGTATGTGTTAAAAGAGTTCGATGCATTATGTGAAAAAGAAGGGATTGTGCATGAGGTGGTACCACCCTACACTCCACAGCAAAATGGAATTACAGAAATAAAAAACAGAACTATCATGAACATGGTGAGAAGTATGTTAAATGAAAAGCATCTATCTAAAAAAATTATGGGGATAAACGGTTTCGACAGCAAAATACATATTAAATAGATATCCGACGAAGAAGCTTGAAGGAATCACACCAGAAGAACGTTGGTGTGGTGTCAAGCCTAGCCTAAGTCACTTGAAGGTGTTTCGATCTATAACACATAGACATGTTCCACATTAGTTGAGAATAAAGTTTAATGACAATTCAAATCAGATGATTTTGATAGGATATCATTCAATTGGAGGTTACAAGTTATTCGACCCAATGAATAAGCAGGTAGTGATAAGTAGGGACGTGAACATAAATGAGCTTAAGGAATGAGATTGGACTGAGAATGTCAAGAAGGATTCAATGAGAATCTCTTGTAAAGAACCAACCACTGAATTCGAAAGAGAAGTTCGACATAAACTAGTCAAAGATGAAGCAGGCCCAAGCAGACCTCGACGAACAAGACATATTCCTGCAAGGTTGCAAGTATGTGTGATTACATCAGATGATGTGGTCGATGAAGAGGGTGAGCTGGTACATTATGCTTTCTAGAAAGATGTCGAACCAGTCAATCTAGCTGAGGCATTGAAAGATTCAAAGTGGATGAAAGCAATTAATGAGGAGTTAGAGCCCATCGAAGTCAACAACACTTGGCCACTTGTCGAATTGCCTTAAGGCAAGAAGGCAATTGATGTAAAATCGGTTTACAAGGTAAAAGTGAATCCTAAAGGAGAGGTAACTCGATATAAGGCGAGATTTGTGGCGAAAGAATTTTTATAGAAGGAAGGAATCGACTTCGACGAAGTTTTTGCACCTGTTGCTAGGATAAAAACAATTAGGTTGGTTATTGGTCTAGCAAACATGAACAATGGGCACACATGTCAGATGGATGTGAAATGTGCACTTTAATGGCCCCTTAGACGAAGAAGTTTACGTTGCACAACCAGCTGGATATGTGAAACGAGGCGAAGAAAGGAAGGTGTACAGGCTGCATAAAGCTCTGTTTCGACTTAAGCAAGCTCCAAGAGCTTGGAATAAGAAGATCTACAACTTTCTAAAGGAGAAAAAAATTTGTGAAGTGTATGACTGAGTATGGAGTATATGTAAGGAGAAGCAATAGTGAATTGCTTATACTATGTCTCTATGTCGATGACCTGTTGATAACAGGAAGTTGCAAGAAGGAGATCGAATATTTCAAACATGATCTAAGTGAGGAGTTTGAAATGTCAGACTTGGAAAATTTCTCATATTTCCTTGGCATCGAATTCAACAAGAGTAGTAAAGGTCTGATAATGCACCAAAGAAGATATGTAGGCGAAATACTCAAGAGATTTGAGATGCAAGATTGCAACCCAAGTTCGACTCCAGCTGAGACCAGATTGCAACTTTCGAAAGATTCAGATTCAGATTCAGATGATGTCGATCCAACCTAATATAGAAGACTTATTGGGTCACTTCGATACCTTTGTCACACAAGGCCTGACTTAGCATACAGTGTGGGTATGGAAAGTAGATTAATGCAGAAGCCAAATATATCATACCTAGCAGCAACGAAGAAGATACTAAGATATCTGAAAGGAACTATCGACTATGGCACTTTGTTTCCTACAATTGATGAAGGAAAAAAATGCAAGCTAGTGGGATACACTGACTCAAGTTGGTGTAGTGATGTTGAGGATAGAAAATCCATAACTGGCTATGTGTTTATGTTAGATGGTGCACCAGTTGCTTGGAGTTCGAGAAAGGAGTCAGTAGTGGCATTGTCATCATGCGAAGCAGAATATATAATTGCTTCTCTTTGTGCATGTCAAGCAACCTGGATGATGAACCTGGTCGAAGAGATCACAACAAAGAGTCATGGAACAATTACAACGAAGATCCACAACATGTCAGCTATTAACTTGGCGAAGAATCCTATAGTACACGGTCAAAGCAAACACATCGAAATGAGGTTCCATTACCTTCGAGAACAGATAGCAGAAGGAAAGATGAACTTGAAACACTGCAGAAATGAGAATCAGATTGCATACATCATGACGAAGGGAGTGTCAGTCAAAGTGTTCAAGAAGTTAAGGTCTATATTGTATGTAGATAGTTTAGACACAATGAATTATGTGGTGTATTAAATATGTAATTCATTGTATTAGAAAGATTAGATTTAATTTAGAAAAATCAGATTTGATTTAGAAAGATTAAAATTTTCTATTCATATAGTTAAAATTAAGTTTTTTCCGTGCATGAAACAAAGACTGGGAATTTAGATATTCTTGAATTTTAATATTTGATAAATAGAATTGAACAAACATTCCGCTGTGACACACATAATCTTAAATTACACCTCAATTATCACATTTAATTTCAAATTAAACCACAAAGATTATCACATCAGCAAAAATGTAGCTGTAATTAGGTTTGCATACCCGCAATTTAAAAGCATGAGTTACATATATAGTAGAAAACAAAATATATAAGTAATGAGTAAAATGTACTCGCAACTAATCTTCCCTTCTCTTTCTGTACATAGCAAAAATATAGATACTATATGTTCTATGTATATGTAGTTGCTCAAACAAGATTCACATACTAGCTAGCTAACTGGTAGAGAACGTAGTGCATGACTGAGGAAGCTGAGGTGAACCTGCAGGAACCACACTTGCATTGTTACTATTATTATCAACACCGCCTCTTTGTGCTCCAATGATTGACGAAAGCGCTGCCGCCAAGGCTGCAGTGAAGTTTGGATCCGAAGAAATAGCCGCACTCACACTCTCAACCATTGAAGAAGGTGGTCGTTGCCCTAGCTGAAGTAAGGGCAAAGCCATAGTCGGTAGCTTCTGCGAGAACAGGAACGGGTTAATACCTAGAAGTTGTTGTGGATGTTGCAATGGTAGAGGAAATCTGTTGTGTTGCATGGCAAGGTTGTGGCCGTTTGTCAAGTCGAGAGTGATAGTCGGAAATGGTTGAGAAGATGATAGGGTTGATATTGTAGCGTAAGGAAATGAAGACAAAAATGGTGCTGATTCTTTGCTTAGTGTTGATGAGGTTGAAGAATTTGATAGTAGCATTGCTGCAGCTGCTGATGTGGTATTTGCTATTGCAGTTGCGGCCGGTGGGAGTGGATGGTTGTGATTGCCTTCGTAGGTTGTTATCAACACCGTTTTGTCTTCCGCACATCTCTGGACCTGTAAAAATCCAGAACAGGAGTTTCTAATAATTATTATCACTTTATTTCTCATCTCATCAAAACTATAATCAAGGATGATTACCTGCTTGCGAACGGGGCATCCTACGGCCATAGTGCAACGATAGTAGGCGCGAGGACAAGGGTTTCCCTTAGCCATTTTTTGTCCATATTTCCTCCATTGACATCCATCACTAATCTAAAATCAAAACATCAATAATCAATCATTATATTAGTCTTTCATTTAATTAATTAATTTACACATATGCATATATAGTAGATATATACCATCGGAGCTTCTGATCTTGCTCGTATCGAAACCCTAGCTTTTCTAAAATGACTTAGATCTTGCTCTGAAGTTTTGGATGAGTGCGAGGAAGAAGATTCAACAACATCTCTTGCAGTATGATCAGAAAGACAAGCTTGTTTTCCATCGGAAACCGATGCATCATTCATAGTCTTTTGTTCCGATGATTCCATCACATGATTTGCTTCCATATTCTGTTTCAGACATATCTTTGTTCAGTAATCACTACTCTCAAAAGTTGCTAATAACCTCAATTGATAAAGAAAATAATATAGGAATTTTTTAATATAAAAATGAAATATCTATTACTATATTAAAAACAAAAATTTAAAAAAAAATTAGATAAAAAAATGAAATATGTATTAAATGTTTCTTGACTATAGTTGCAGAAAAATCAAAGTAATAGATATTTTAAAAAGAGTTTGAAAAAAGACAGACACGGTTTCTAATTTAAGCGACGCACGCTACCCTTGTTTTCTTTATTACTGACTATGAAATTAATGTTGAGAAAAAACAAAAAATCTTGCAGAAACAAACAAACGTTGAAAATAAAATCATTATAGGAGAAAATTAAATAAAACAAAATCATAATCGAGGATGAAAATAATCTAAATGTTTGAAAAGTATATATAGATATCATACATCGACATGGTTTTGTTTCTGTAAAGCGATGAACAACTGAGCTTGTAATTGGCTATAGCTTTTGGTGATTTGTTCCAACACATTTCTTAGTTTCTGATTCTCTTCTTGCACCTTCCTCAATTCAATTTGCAGTGTACTCATCAGCTGAAATGAGATTTTATCAACACAAACACAAGAACATGTATACTATGTTGTTGGAAATTGTAAGACACAAACCAACCTCAGTTTCAGAATTCTCAGGATTTTGTTCTTTGGAAACTGCAGCACTTGCACAGGTTAAATTCAGTCCTGTCTGTATGAAAAGAAAATTAATAAAGAAACATATATTAATATATAATCAATATTAATGTTTAAAACGTTACGTTAACATGTTGATCTTGATCTTGGTTGTTGTTATGTGATGATGAGAAGAGATCCATTTCTTTGATTGGAGGATCTGTGTTGTTGTTACGGATGAAGTCGCCGGAGGAGGTTAAGAAGGAGAATTCACGGTGGTTGTGGTGGTGATTCTCCATTAATATGATTAATTGGCGATGTAATAGGGAGAGAATGAGAAGAGAGAAGGTTGGTAATTGGTAGTGATTGAGAAATGAAGTGGTAGTTAAGCTTGGAAATTAATCAACGATTCTTTTTCAACGCAAAGGTTTAGTTTACTAGTTTAAATTTAAATGTGGAAGCGCACACCCTCTCATCTCTATTTGGACCTTGAGCTAGGGGTCCCACGTAGAAGAATAGAGTGAAGAGACCTTGGAGAGAACTTCATGTGAAGACAACAGCCGTTTTTGGCCAACAATGACATCATCATTAGCAATTGCGCATGGCATATATACCTACATAGACCATGGACATGACATCGATACTGACACATATTCTTTGTTTGATAAGAGATTGTATGAGTTGATCTCATTTCGCGTTGATAATAGCTTCAGAGAAGATATGTAGTGTATGGTGGGAGACTTTAATTCAATTTGTTCTTTTAATGTGAGGATTAAGGTTGTTGGTGTTTTATGGTCATCTCAAAGTGTTGATTGCACTATGCCAAATAAGATCTTTAGCAGCGCTTAAAAACGTTGTCTAAAGTGGCACTGCTAAAGGTAAAGGCAGCGTTTTTTTTTTTTTTTTTATGGATAAAGCGCTGCTATAAGTTCCCTTTAGCAGCATTTTTAGCAGCGCTTTCCTTCCCTTTAGCAGCGCTTTTCAGAAGCGCTGCCTATTCCCCCTCCCCCTTTTAGCAGCGCTTCTGAAAAGCGCTGCCTATTCCCCCCCCCCCTTTAGCAGCACTTTTCAAAAGCGCTGCCTATTCCCCCCCCCCCCCCCCCCTTAGCAACGCTTCTGAAAAGCGCTGCCTATCCCCTCCCCTTAGCAGCGCTCCCTCCTTTCCTCCCTTTAGCAGCACTTTTACTTAAAAGCGTTGTCTATTATTCTTCACGTTTTTAAATATTTTTTTCGATAAACCTGCTTATAACAATTACATTAACCTGCTTATAATTCAGGCCTTTAATTCAACACTTTGGCCTTATATATACATTGTAATTCAACACTTTGGCCATAATCATTGTAATTCACGAAAACCTGCTTATATATAATTCAACACAAGCCGATCCTCAGAACAACTTCACAAATACAATTACTTTTCATATAATTACAAAACCGATAACTTTACAAATACATACGACTTCCAGAAATACTATTATCCCGCATCAATATTTGACGATACATATATCTTATACAATTCGCAACTCAAGAATGTATTGACACCATTCCTCCTTAATTTCTTCCAATCCTGCTTTCGAGTAAGTACCACACTTGAATTCATCAAAATACTACATAATATAACAGAACATGCACAATTTAGTTTTAAAACTAATTACTCAGATGAAATATCGGTTAATTATTAAAATAAATCATATAGCTTATGAATTTATCCATACCATGATTGGAATATCTATTTGACCCGAGTGAATAATTTCCTTAATAAAGCGCAATACAACATATCTGCAATCAATCCCATTACGCTGACGAGGACACTGTAAATGAAAAAAACAAACGATCATTTATCAAGATATATAGTTTAAATAGTTTTATCAAGTAGAATAACTATAATAGTCAAAAATGTGAAAATATACCTGCACTCTGATCCAGCTAATGTTGTTAGCCTTTCTTTTTGGCATTTTTGCTTCTCTTTGCACTCGAAATATTTGTATAACTCTAACATAATATAAACGAATATTTAGAACAATCTCACATAATAAATAAAAATAATTATTTAGAACAGTATATCTCATCACTTACGTATCAACCATAGTCTTCATATCAGGATATTTTGTTTGATCACCATCCAATGAATCCAGATAATACACTATTTCTTTCATCGGATTAATCGCGACCAACAACCAGTGTCCACTGTAAAATAAGACAAAAGTTTAGACGAAAATGTTATATAGAATGGCAAAAAATGAATAATTATAATAAATGAATTTAGAATGAAATCTAACCCATGACCAGTATTATATGACAAAAAGTACATCTTCTCTGTATCTGCGGCCATAAGTGATTTGACTATGTAATCTCCGACTACATCTGGAGTGTGATCGATTGACCGTGCGTTGATACAGCTAGCAGATAAGAATGCGAATCTTGAAGTCAAATCATGCAGGACCAACATCTTGTCATACAATAACCTTAAATAAAAACATAATCAACATTAGAATATTCATTTAAATGAGCAAATAAATTGTTCAATTATTTTATTAAAATTGATCGAAGTACTACCTGATGTAGGAATGCATAACACCGATGCCCAATTCAGAATGTTGGAAAATATGGTCCATATCCTCCTTGGCAATAGTTTTGGCATATTCAAAACCGAAAATACCTTCCTGCATAGGCATTTGACGGATGCCACCCTCAACCACATCTGTTGTTCCTACATATGTTTCAAGGCACAACCTAAATCGAGGAACAAATTCTTTTTTTGCCTCGACCTTTTTTTGTTGGGCACCTTGCTAGATTCAGGCATCTTACCCTTGCTGACTTGTTGCAACTGTTGATCTTGAACCTAAAAGTCATATAAATTCAGTAATTATTGTATAATAAGATCATCATGTAATTGTAATAGTACCTATTTTTTTTATGCATTTGAATCGGTTTCCCGCATAATAATTCCCTTATCTTTTGATTTGGATTTTGTAGGAGTCTAAGATCATCATGTAAATAAGTAAATGTAAATGTAAGAATAACTTTCATGTATGTGTCGTAAAACATTTGAATACTTCATAATGGTGTTCAACCTACCTCATCATCTATGAAAATGAGATTTGACGGCCATGCTACATACGATCCTATTGCCTCTCCTACCACTGTTGCGTTCGAAACATCATCTGGTATAGGCAACATCGCACCCCCTCTAACGCAATATCAACTGATACTTTCAAAAATCCAGCAGGGAGCGGTTTATGGTGAAATAGATCTCCCAAAGTGTTATGCACTTTTCCCTTGCCAACCATGCGATAAGTCGGTGACGATAAATATAGCCGACAAGGTGAAATGCCCTAAACAAATAATGAATATGATTAATGTGTCAATTAAGAAAATTGTGCTATATTAATTTCAATGTAATATATACAATTACCTCTGGAAGCTTCTGCGGACAATTGATACTATTTTTGTCGCTAGTATCTTTACACTCTGGACCGTGCTTTTCTGACATGTATATCTCTTTGTCCTTCTGTAATTCACGAATCTGAGCTTTCAATTCTTCCAATGTCTCCATCACTTCTTTATTGCTAGGATTTTTATTCTTTGGCTGCTTATACAGTTTTGATGGAGTGACATCAAATCCCTTACCCCTCACACGCCCAAAATACTCAGGAATATTTAACACTCAGCTCAATAAGCTCCTGCAATCATCGTCCTCAGCTATAGTTATAGTTTGGGATAAAGTCTCTTGAAATATAGATAAAAGCATATATAAATATATTATACACTTTTGAGTTACTGACAAAACTAATGTTGTACTTACACATTGTTCAAATACTCAATCGCTTCTTCATCAATGTATCGTTCAACAATACAACCCTCTGGTCGACTTCAGTTTTTCACATACCCTTTCAATATTTTCATATAACGTTCAACAGGGTACATCCATCTCATATAAGCTGGTCCACACAATTGTGTCTCTTTCACAAGATGAAAAACTAGATGTACCATTATGTCAAAAAATGATGGAGGAAAATACATTTCAAGCTCACACAAAGTAATAACTATTTCTTTTTGCAATGTTGGTAAGATCATAGGAACGATCACCTTACTACAAATTGACCTGAAGAAAAAACACAATTTAGTTATTGCCCTTCTCACTTTTTTTGGAAAAATAGAACGTATACCTATTGGTAGAAAGTGTTCCATTATAACATGACAATCATGTGTCTTTAAACTCTTTAACTTGAGGTCTTTCATAGAAACAAGTCTTCTAATATCTGAAGAGTATCCTTCTGGAACTTTAACTTCACTCAAAAACTTACACAATATCTTTTTCTCCTTTCTAGATAAACTATAAGCAGCAGCTGGTAGATATGTTCAATTTCCTTTCTTCAAGGGTCCTAATTCATTTCTTATTCCCATTGCTACCAAGTCCTTTCTTGCTTTAAGGTCATCTTTAGACTTTCCTTGTATATTGAGTAACGTACCAATAACACTTTCAAATACATTTTTTTCAATATGCATAACATCAAGAAAATGTATTACATACAACGACTTTCAATACAGCAACTCAAACAAAATTGACCTCTTCTTCCACCCACGCGTGACAAGCGTGTGAGCAAAAGGCTTGCCAAACTTAGTACTCACATCTTTCACCTTTTCAAAAATTTGTTCGCCGGTCAATGTAGGTGGAGCTCTAACTGGTTCTGAATTTCCATTGAATGCTTTTCTCCACCCACGGTAGTGATGATTAGAATTTAAGAATCTACGATGACCAAGAAAGACATTCTTCTGACCAAATTCCAATCGCGTCCAATCTGTGTTTTCTTCACAGATATGACACGCACATTGACCTTTAATGCTATACCCTGATAGATTTCCGTATGCTGGAAAATCATTAATTGTGCCAAACAACATCGCTCTCAAATTGAAACTTTCTTTCCTATATCCATCATAAACCTCCACACCGTTCTCCCACAAACTCTTTAAGTCTTCGATTAAAGGTGTCAAGTATAAGTCTATGTCATTCCCTGGTTGTTTAGGGCCAGAAATTAACATAGATAACATCATGTACTTACGCTTCATACATAGCCATGGAGGTAGGTTATAAATCATAATATTTACAGGCCATGTGGAATGTGAGATACTTTGTAGACCATGCGGATTCATTCCATCAATCGATAATGCCAAGCGAAGGATTCTAGCTTCTTCTCCAAAATCAGGATACTCATTATCAATTTTCATCCACTCTGGTGAATCTTCCGGATGTCGATACTTCCCATCTATAATTCTATCATTTGCATGTCAAGTCAAG